TACTAGGGCTTCGGTGGAGTTTTGGAGGGGTTCAGGGTTTAGGGTTTAGGGTTTAGGGCGGTTTAGGGTTTAGGGCGGTTTAGGGTTTAGAGTTCAGGGTTTAGGGTTTAGGGTTTAGGGTTTGGGGTACTAGGGCTTCGGTGGAGTTTTGGAAGGGTTTAGGGCGGTTTAGGGTTTAGGGTTTAGGGCTTAGGGCTTAGGGTACCAGGGTTTCGGTAAAGTTCTGGAAGGGTTTTAGTCTCTGCATAGAGCGCCTGCCTTCCGAGCCCGACCCTAAACCCTAAACCCTAAACTTCAACGCCCTGAACGGTTTGGGGTTTAGGGTTTCGGGTCGCTCTCTTTGTTTAGGGTCTGTTTTAGGGTCCTTTTGTAAGGGTGCCGTACTATGTTTGGGACCTTTAAAGGGGACCCTAATTTAGAGAACTACCCAGACTCTACACCCTAAGCCGAATTGAGACACTAAGCCCTAAACCCTAAACCTAAAGTCCTTAATCGCTAGCATCCTGAACCCTAAACCCTAAACCTGAGGTCCTTAATCGCTAGAATCCTGGACCCTCAACCCTAAACCTGAGGTCCTTAATCGCTAGAATCCTAGACCCTCAACCCTAAACCCTAAATAAACCCTAAGATCCTAAATTTCAGACCCTCAACCCTAAACCCTAAACCCTAAACCCTAAGACCCTACAGACCCTGAAGTCCTAAACCCTAAACCCTAAACCCTAAGACCCTACAGACCCTAAAGTCCTAAAGACCCTAAAGTCCTAAGAGTCCCCTTCCTTCACCATCCCCTTGGGCCAGCACTCGGCGAAGGCCCCAGACGGGGACGTCCTGCAGATGGCTGGAGCCCCTCAAAGTTTAGGGGCTTAGGGGTTTAGGGGCTTAGGGTTTGGGGTTTAGGGTTTAGGGTTTAGCGTTTAGGGTTTAGGGGTTTAGGGGTTTAGGGTTTAGTGTTTAGGGGTTTAGGGCTTCCCAAAGAACCCAATACCCCTTAATTAAGGAATATACCTTCAATTACGGGGGTCTTAACATTATGATTCAAGGGGTATTGGGCTCTCTGGGCCCTCAACCGATTCCAGGGTTCAATTTTGAGGCTTCTTCTGGGGGGGTGTGCAGGGCTTGGGGTGTATATAGCGTTTTGCTGTAGGGCTTAGAGTTTAGGATGGGTTCCTTTAGGTTCCTAGAACAGTTCCAAGATTCTATAAGGTTCTAGGCGCGAGCTCAATAAAAGTGTATGCCGAGGGATCCTCGTTTGTGATTTTGGCCTTGGGCTCCCGGTGCCTCGGGGCTCGGAAAGTACTCAGAGAACCCAATACCCCTTAATTAAGGAATATACCTTAAATCATAATATTCAGGCCCTTATAGTTTAAGGTCTATTCCTTAATTAAGGGGTATTGGGTTCTCTGGGTAGTTCGAAGTATGTCTACTTACTTCTGGCTTGCAACTCCGGTTGTCGCTATACTTTCAAACTTAAATGCCACCTAAAGACTCCCTCCGTCGCTGTATCATCGAAGTACTGACCCTTAAGGCTCCAAGTACATGATAATCATATACTCTCCCAAATAATACCCTACATGACTACTATCCGAAACCTAAGTACCTGATTATTGGGTCCTTCGGGCCCTCGGGGTTACTAAACCCTAAACCCTAAACCCTAAACCCTAAACCCTAAACCCTAAACCCCTAACCTAAGTACCTGATTACTGGGTCCTTTGGACCCTTGGGGTGAGCCAACTTCAACCCATTTGGCGTGAGGAGCTCCCCGACTTCACGTCAGGGCCGAGGCAAGGTTTCCTTTGTGGCCTAGGGTTTGGGAGTTTAGGGTTTAGGGGTTTAGGGTTTAGGGTTTAGGGGTTTAGGGTTTAGGGTTTAGGGTTTTGGAGTTTCCGAAAATTAGGTTACCTTATTTCGGGGTCCTCATAAGAAGGATCCTACTATGTAGGGTACTATCTTAGAGTCCCCGATTTTCGGAAACCCCCATTTAGGCTTTGGAGCCTAGCTCACGCTTTAAGGCTTAAGGCTTTCGGGTTTAGGGTGTGTAGTTTTACTAATGTAGCGGCCTTAATTAATAATTAGAATAAGGTTTTGGGATTAGAATAAGGAGCCCCCAAACCCAATTCAATTATTAAGGCCCCTCCCTAAACCCTACACCCTAAACGGCCCTAAACCCTAAACCCTAAACCTTTTTCCTAGAGCTGGGGAAGACCATTGAGGTTAAGAGAACTGCCCGGCTGGAAGTACAAGCTGGACGCCTTGGAAACCATGGCAACCAAGAGCCCCCCCTAAACCCTAAATAACCCTATCAGGTTTAGGGTTTAGGGTTTGGGGCCCCTGAACCCTTAAACCGCAACCCGTAAACCTGACTGAACCTCCAAAACTAATTGCGAGCCGTGCGATCCTTTGTTCCGCCTGTCGCGAGAACCACTGATCCTGCAGCAAGCGTGCGGTTTTGATGCCAGCTGAGATGTGAGGTTGGAGGGCTGAGGCTTCAAGCGTCGGGTTAGGGTTCGGGGTTTAGGGTTTAGGGTGTAGGGTTTAGGGTTTGGGGGGTTTAAGGCTTAGGGGACTACGGAACTTAGTAAGCAGGCTGTGGTTAGAGGCCCCAATCAAACTGAGCTACTCACAACCCTGCCAAGCCCTCAACCCTGAACCCTAATCCCAAAACCCTAAACCCCAAACCCAAAGCCCGCAACCCTGAATCCTCATCCCTAAACCCTAAACTGAACCCTACCAACTAAGCCGCCCCCTGAGCCCACTAAGCGGGGCTTCGCGTTGGACCTTGAGCCTTGAGGTCCGCACTGAAACACCTTGCCGGAATTCGGGCTCAGCGGCTTAGAGATTAGGGATTAGGGTTTAGGGTTTGGGGCTTAAGGCTTAGAGGTTTAGGGTTTAGGGTTTAGGGCTTCGGGGTTTAGGGTTTAGGGTTTAGGGTTTAGGGGTTAGGGGTTTAGGGCTTAGGGATTTGGGTTTAGGGCTTGGGGTTTTGGGTGCAGGGGTTTAGGGTTCAGGGATTGGGGCTTAGGGTTTTTCATCCCCGGGCCCGAACTCCTGAAAGCCAAGAACGGGACACGGCGTGAAGAGTAATATGTCGGCCTCAAGTTAGTAGCAGTATTTGGGAAGGCTCCTTCATTTTCATAAGTACATCTTTATATATATATATATATTATCATATGCCTCCAACCTTACTAAGGCCCCTACATTAAGCAGCTGAAGGAATCAGAATGGGATGGTCACACTTCCGCTAAGCCCCGTAGCATCGTGCTTTGAAGGCATGGCTGCAGCCTGGAGGAAAGCCACGTTATAGGGGGTCTGATAGTTCGAACAGGCTTTTGTGGTATACAATAGTATTATCATGGAAACTACAATGTACACGGATCCTAGCTGCCCCTGGAACCCAATCCCTAAACCCTAAGACCCTTGGACCCTATAGACACTAAACCCTAAACCCTAGGTCCCTATAGGCCCTAAACCCTAAACTAGTCATAATTCCGACTAGGAGTTAACCCTAAACCCTAAACCCTAAACCCACCTGGTTTGGGGGGGTAGGAGTTCAAGGCATCCAGGGCCACCCAAGGCCACCTAATCCCGAGCCCTACGGACCTCCAACCTACGATTCATTCGGGTTTAGGGTTTAGGGTTCAGGGTTCAGGGTTCAGGGTTTAGGGTTTGGGGTTTAGGGTTTAGGGTTTGGGGTTTAGGGTTTAGGGTTTAGGGTCCAGTGCCATAAACCCAGACACCCACGTAGAACCCTTACCTAAACTCTTCGCAAAACCCTTTGTCCCCCCCTGTCAAGGCCTTGCAACTTCTTTACAAACCCCTGTAAAACACAATTCCAACTATTCGGGTTTAGGTTTAGGGCTTTGGGTTTAGGGTTTTGGGTTTATAGCGTTTTGGGTTTACAGGGTTCTGGGGGCTCTTGTGTACAAAACCTTTAGACTGTAGCCCCTTTGCAAAAAGCTGCCGGCCTGTTCTGTCGCGCTGAGCGCCGTAAGCTGCCGGTGGCCTCACGGAACCGTTCGACAGGCCGACCGGATGGTGGAGGGTTTATAGAGCGCTGCCCAGAGAGCCCAATACCTCTTAATTAAGGAATACACCCTCTTAACCCTGAACCCCATAAACCCTAAA